TTTTATTCTGTTAAATTAAAAACATTGATCACACATTACAACACTTACCTTCTATTATCACTATTATTTCATAAAGGAAGAATTAATTTTAACATTTAAAAGGAGGGAGAGAATGACATCATAATACAGGACAGTCTTTTAAAATGAATAAAATTTACTTCATGAAAAATTCATTATGCTACACTTATTTTTCTTATCATGGACACTCTAACATTATCTAGACAGGGAACTAAATTTTTCACACCTACTTATATAAATGAGTCTAGAATATATTGGGCACCATAAATGAGTAATAGTTTGATTTATTAGGAAGAACTACAAGTACAATATCTGTTTCCAAATTTATCCTGGCCCAAACCAATGTCATACCTGAAATCTAACCATGGAAAATGAATCAACAAAAATCTTGGGGATTTTGGAGACAGTGAACAGTTTCCTGTGTATTCCTACATCAGCCCATGGATCTGTTTCTATTTTGTGCAGAAGTTTTACATTCGCTTTTATTTAGTTAGTTAGTTAGTTTCTGGAGACAGTCTCACTCAATTGCCCTGGGGTTGAGTGCCATAGAGTTATTGCTCACAGCAACCTCAAATTCTTGGGCTGGAGTAATCCTCTTGCCTCAGCCTCCAAAGTAACTGAGAGAGTATAGGCACCTACCACAACACCTGGCTATTCTTAGAGACAGGGTCTTACTCTTGCTCAGGCTGTTCTGGAACTGGTGAGCTCAAGGATTCACCTGGCAAGGCCTCCCAGAGTGCTAGGATTACAGGATGAGCCACTGCCCCGGGCTTGAATTCACTTTTAAAATACTACCAAAGACACCTAAGTAACATAGATACAATTTTTAAGTTACATTAATTAATTATTGTAAAATGGGGGAAAGACAGTAAGAGTTAATAGTTACAAGTGAATAATCTATCATTTAACTAAAATAAAATGAAATTAACATGCGTGAATAATCCAGACATTTCTGTTAACATTACTTTTCACCAGTGACAATGCAATTTTTTTCAAGTTCCCCTTTCTGCAATATGGAAATTGTATGTTTTTCCTTCATGTTGTTTGAAAATAAAAATACTGTGACCAAATGCAAATCAATTCAAAAAGGAAAAGTTTATTTTCAATTTACATGTGTTCTCCTCAACTCCATCTCCATTTCTGATTTGACTTTCCTTTCTAACCCCTTCTCATCCCCTCTGCAACCTCAGTTCTGTGGGGGATGAATTATTTGATGAGCAGGACAAAGGAAACCTGAACAAACAGCAGTGTGATGGACACTGACTCACCTTATGCCCACAGGATTTTGCCATAGTAATCTAAGAATCCTGACGCTTTCCGGTCAAATCACCTGTCTCTGGTGCAGTTCTACAGCAATTGCCATTCATATTCTGGGGTGTTTGAGTGATGAGCAGGAGACCCCACAAAATTCCAAATGATGCTATGTTGGTTGCCAAAATATCAGGATGGGTGCTTGCCAGGGCCAATAAGCTCTTATCCCAGACTGCAGCTGAGGCTTGGGAAAAGGACTGAAGTGAAGGGGAACGTGTGAAAGAGCTGGAAGGCTCTGAGATGAGGGTGAGATGCTGAATGCAGAACTCATCCGCTTTCAGCTCTACCAGGAAACAGGGTCCTGCTCAGTTCTCAATCACTGCTTTTATGATCTGATAATAACTTGGGTTTTGGTGGGAAGCTTACTCTCCCTATAATCTAATGTTTACTTGTATTAATGAATAATCATTGCCCAGAATATTATCCCACACCTGGACTCATGAAGCAAACTCACCATTACAGAAGGGGCATGTTGTTAGAGAGTTGAAGACTATTAACATTACTGCAAGTCAGATACATCAAACACTTCTCAAAATATAAAAATTTTATAGCACCAAATAAGAGATCCGATAATAATAGTTTTGTGAATAATTCTCAAATTAAATATTTAACTTCCATTATTACCATTCCTTAGAAACTATGCTTAGAAATTGATGCCAATCAGGATCCTGCCAAAAGATACATGAGGCATGTATTTTATTTCTGGTTTTTGAAAACAGCTTTATTTTAAACCCAGATACTTCTAGTCATGAGGATTTCCCCTTCCTTGGTGTTGGTAAACTTTATTGTCTGGAAGATATGTTTGTAAAGTTTTACCACTGACCCTGGGTCCTCGGGGCAGCTTCATTTCTATTTTATAAGCCACCTACATGGAGGCAGCTCCTTTGATCATTGATGAGATAAACCAAAGAAACTCTTTGGTGACTTTTGTCAGGAAATAATGATGCTCTGGATGCTGCAGCGAATCGTTCCGTGGGCCCCTCCTCTTACAGGTCCCATGCAGTCTAAAATTTAGTCTCAAAAGTACAGAAGGGGAGAGTGGAACTTCTGAGGTTTAAACGTGGTGTAAA